AGAAGGGAGAAGAACGCAATCAACTGCGCCGCACTCTAAATGCTCTACGAACAAAAAAAAAATACAGACAAAAACATTCACGCTTCCCTTTACACAGAAATGCACAGAAATATACACAGTATCTATAAGAAAAGCATTCTTAATGAACTTCGTTGTTTGTCGTCCGATCTTGATGAAATTTTCAGCTCTCCAAATGTGGCAGGTAAATGGATGCATATACCTAAGCGCAAGTTCCTTCATTTCAAATAAATAATAAAAAAAAAAACATTTTAAAGAAGGCAAATACTTTTCATATATGTTTACTACACGAGTAGCTACAAAACTCATTTGATATATCTATCTCTCATAAGCGCCGAGCTATGCTCGATATTTATAGACATTATGAAGGATGAGGAGGTATCGAAGAGGTAGAGAAGAATATATTGCAAATTTTAAGATTTTCAACATTTACAGGGTATTAAAAGCATTCATATACATATATGCCTTGCATACGGCATGCTGCCTTCGAAAATTGCAATTCATTTTTCACTAGCTCATAATTAGGAAAGTCTTTCGGGCTCGAAATATTCTCTGAATATACGTACAAGAAAAACATGAATGTACATAAGCACACACACACACACTCGCACACACTCGCACGCACACACACACACACACATGTTTTTGGCCCGTTTGTTGTGCTCGCTTTCGTCTAAACAAATATTGGGCCGACTTTTGTGTTTATTTGCACAGTTGGCGGCGAATTTGCCGCTTTAGTGACTCGCCCCTTGGCAGTAGTAGGCGGGGGCAGCTGCGAGGGGAGGCAGCTACTGTTTTCAGTCTGCAAGCCACGCCCCCGCGCCCTCAGCTTGACCAGAGGGCGCAGGCGAACTCCTGGCCGAAGCCGAGCAGGCTCATAAAAATGAGAACAATCCGAAGCTGAGGCTATTTGCATTTGGCTCATAACTCTTTTGATTGCAAATAAACCCGGGGACGGGCTTTTATTCAGGCCCTGTTGTTGTTGTTGTTGTTTGTTACCTTCTGGCCGTGGCTCATAAAAAGGCCAGACGCAAGTCACACCCACGCCAGGAATCCAGCTGAGGGCATCCTTCAAAGCGCGGGGGCACACACAGAATGATAGAGAGGCACAGGGTAGACAGAGGGGGGCGGGGGGATAGAGGGGAACCTTTGGCATATGCAAATGAAGTTTGTTTTTATTGTTTGGCAGCGCAGAATAAGAACTGCCTTTTTCGAACAGTGTCAACCGGCAGACACTTAATGGGTTTTTTCATCTGCCAGACGCGCTTGGACAAGCCGAGGCGGGAGAGGCAAACGGGGCAGTCGGGGGTTTCGGAATGGGCCTGTCATGGCTGAGCATGCGTAATGAAGCTTAAGTAGAACTGGTTATAAAAACAGCCGAAGCGCATAAAACAACATGAAAAGGTGTTGCACGATGAGCTCTGCTGCCAGAAGCTTAACGAACCGAAGGAGCTGCGACCACAAGAAATGAGCTGCAGCTGAAGCTGGAGATGAGCTAAGTACTCCAGTGTGCTCCACAAAAGGTGTCCGGAACACAAAAGATGTCCAAAACAGCCGCCCAATGCGCGGCAAGTGTGTGCTGAGCCAGCACGTTATGAGAATTGCAGAGAAAGACTGTCTCAGCTAACAATTGCCAGAGAATGTTAGGTCAGCAACTGAGTGGGCATCATTTGTAGAGGCATCAATTGATGCAGAGATAGGTTATGAATGAGAAGGTTTAAAAATACTTTTTTTTTGGCTGGGACAAAATTGCCAGAACCTAGTTGAGGTCTTTCAGATCGAAGGTTGAGCAGAGATTTGTAATTCAATTAACTGAGTTGCAGAAATACAGATTCGAAATATATTATTATATATATTAATAAATATTTTGAAAACGTTTCCCATCCCACATTAAATATATCCAACATATATATGATATATGTCTGCTTAAGTTTTAAATCTTTGTCTTCTTTTTTAGGTTTCTCATTGAATTCGTTTTGTCTCGCAAAAAATCTTAAGTTCGAGCATTTTAAAATTTTTTTTTTGCATGTCGAGAGTAAAAGCAAATGTTTGCGCCTCTGATAAAAATGGGTTTTCTTTACAAAAGTAAAATTCAGCATGTGAAAAGAGCTCAAAGAAAAACCGCGAACGGGCGTCTTCCGCGCAGGGTAAACTACCTACCCCCCCCCCCCTCCCACACACGCACATACTCGCACAATTGGGCACCTGTACACACACACACACACACACACACACACACTAAAGCCATCGCATTACCATTTACCAGGATGTTGACCATTTCAGTTAACGCCTTGCCGTGTGGCTTATGCGATACATGTCCTTGCCTCGAGCTCCATTTTTCTTACATGCACACTTCATTTATTACCCCAACTGGCACCCCCTACCCCGCCCCCCTTTACAGACCCCTTTATTGCTTGGTATTATATGTCAGTTATATGCATGTCGTTAGTTTTCATGAGACTCGGGTCCAGCTTGCAAGCAGCGTGTCCTTTGCTGAAAATCAATATCTGAGTGCAAAAATTGTTCCAGTTGCTGATTCATTTTTTTTTTTCTTTTTGTTGCCCATTTTTTATATATTTTGCTGCTCTTTGAGCTGTAAGTGATAGCATTTTGCCTGCTTACAGGTGTTGCATTTAAATGTTCACATCTGACAAATACCCTGTAAACCATTTTAAACAAAGTGTCAAGAAAATAGAAGGAGCTTGTATGGGATTGCATATTAGCTAGTATATACCCTGTTAATTTTATAGCTATCGATTAGTAAACACCGAAGTTATATCACTTCACAGTTGTTGTACGCTGTGAAATACCCTGTAAGCCAATTCAAAATAGATATGTGTCAAGTAGATAGAGGAAACTTGTATCTGCTTGTATTAAGTGTCTTGGACTCTGATTTTTGATATATAAAATTGCATAGCCGCTAGTAAATACCCTGTAAAATGTATAACTATCGGTTGGTCAGAACCAAAGTTATCGCACTTCACAGCCGTTTACAGGGTAGCGCCACGTCGAGCAGCGGCAACAATCGATAAGGCATTGTTTTCTGCGGCCTACCAATGCAATTTCGTACACCTTTGTGGCGCGTGTTAAAAATCTGTTAAATCACAAATTGTTGCGTAAAACATGCCGCACACTCTCACGCACACACGCACACACACACACACACACACACACACAGATGCACACAGTTACACACATACGTACAAAATACACAGCATAAATCATATGCATAAATTCAATTAAATTTTTCTCCTCAACACACACACACACACACAAACAGACGCACACACAGCGTGACGTTGTATATAATTTTTGGGGCGCGTCAATCGCAGGATAAACGCTTTAAAAGGTGAGGGGGGGTAACATATTGTAAATAATCTTTAAATTGCTTAAATTGTTAAAGTTTAAAATCGAACTGTTTCATATTTAATAATAGATTCCCAGCGGCTCACAGCTGCATAAATAAACTTCGCATATCAAAACTTCAATGCAATTAGTCGAAAATATTGCAAAATTGAATATAAACAATTGAACAACAGCCTCAAAACATTTGAAACGGACTGCAAAAGAGTGTGAACGGGCTTTCGATTATATATTATATGTGCTCAAATTCAAATTTTTATACGAAAATTCAATTATTGAACTATTATTACAATGGGAAGCATGAAAAAGTAGAAGTTACCCGGCGTTGACCGGTTCGAATGCATAAAGCTGACATTGCAGTAGATGCCAAGATTGTCTACTTCACAAGATTCACAACGTACCCTCTCTTCTCTTGCCCTTTACAAAATTGTAGCTTTTATATTCAAGGGGGTTCGATCCCTTAATTTAGTGTGTCGAAATGTTACTGATTGTTCCTGGCCGACGAAGAGCTAACAGATAGGCATAATTATATGGACTCAGTTGTTAACTATAAAATTCTTTATATATCTCTACAAAAAAACTGCTAATCTTGATTAATATTCTCAACTCAAATATTTACCCACAACCCACTCAACCTAACCTAGCCCAACTGAATAGCTTTAACCAGTTGCACAGTTCATAAATCTGCGTCTTTAGATGGCATTTTAAATGAGTTGTTTGCTTGGCTACAAATGAAATGAATAATACTTTTTGGCCAATATATCAACTCTTTGTGGGGCTTTGAATCCATTTGGAAATTACAGCACAAAGCAGTTTGATTTATTTTTCCCCGAAAATATATATATATATATTTCGGTCTCTTGAGTGGCAAAGCATCATCGTCTGATCTATTGAATAACAAAATACTCTCGCATGTATTTCTGTTGCGGTTGCATCGTTTTTTTTTTTTTTGCTTTTCAATAAATATCCGCAAAATTGTAAATGTTTCATGTTGATTTCATGTTCCCAAACATATGGAAATAGTGCAATAATAATGAAAGCCGCGACCAGAAATCCAATAAATCGAAAGAAAAAATCGATTCAATGAGCAAAGCGACTGTGAGATGCCCTGTAAAGCAGGCAGGGCTTGGGTTGAGAGGGAAGAAAGCTGACACCATTTTGTGTAAACTGAGGCTGATTGATTGATTGACTGACTGATTGATTGAATGACTGCCCCATTGATTGATTGACTATCTTTAGTTATCACGAGATGCACTCCAAAAAACTTTTCACTTGGCCCTAAAAATTCACGCTTCTAGATGAAAATGATATATAAAGGCACACCATTATTTTCACACTACAATGAAATGTATGCACAAACCAATATAGCCCGCCACAACACACTGTGTGTAGGGTATGACTTATATGAATGTACATGCTTTATAACTTTACGCGGTCAGGCCATGGAAACTGCAAGAGGGAAAAAAAACCAAGTGGGCTGGGAGACAGCGCGGTGCCAACCCTAAGTGGCATATGCAACATATTTCGATTCCAACTACTGTCGGAGTCGCATTTCAATTTGAATTTTCATATTCTCCATCGCACACATAGACATTAACACATTCCCTCACGCATTGCAGGCGGGCTATCAATCGGATCAGGTGCCCGGCGTGCTGACCGCCCAGAAACAGAAGGAAGTGGGCAGCCCAGAAAGTGTGCAGAGCAGTCATTCTCAATACATGATGCAGAAGGACGAATCGCAGTTTCTGAGTAAGTACACGATATATTCCTAGGCGCCAGCCAACTAACCATATCGACTCCATATATATATATATATAGCGGGGCATCGTTGTAATTGTTCCGGAAATAGAGCAGGCGCCGCGGGCGCAAGATCATCACGTTCTGGCCATAAAAAATGTGCTAAACAGCATGCAAAAACTTTGCTGGCATTCCATTTGAGCTAAACACAATGTCGGAATCAGCATCTTCTTCTATTTTATGGCCATGTCTGGGGCCTTCTGCTGGACTCTGTCTGGGTCTTGGCACGTGACTGGAGGAAGCTGTAGCTGATGAAAGACTGCCAGGCATTGCCGTAGGGCTGGCTGTCAAATCCAGTTAAGGCAGCAAAATAAATAAATAAATACAAAACGAGACACTTTCTAAATGGCCATTGGAACGCACCGAAAGAAGTCGAGCCGAGAAACTGGCTTCCTCTTTCTTACTTTGTTCATGCCTCAATCCCAAAAACCTAACCAAATGCCAGACATTTTCTCTGCCATCTCTCGCTCTCCCTCTCTCACTCGATGCCCACCATCTCTTGCTCTGCACTTTCGTTGCAATTAAAACAAGTTAACTTGTCAACGTGGTTTAGTTGTCTTCTTTTTCTACTACTCTACGCGATGCTCTTACTCTAACTATTTCCCAATAGAGTACATATTAATGGGTATCTCTTGCCCCCAAAAATATTCTTTTAACTTTTTCAAAGAGCTTTCATTTTGACGTAAGTATTTGCTGAACTATTTGCTGGAGTATTTGTAGAATAATTAACTTTTGGTCTTCACCTATTTGTCGCTTGATATATTGAGCATGACATTTTGGGAACGAGCTCCCGTAAAGATAAAATATGTTTTTAAGTCTTAGAATCGGTTTTAGGGGAATTTGTTTCAAACACAGACTTATACTTCCAACAGAACGTGTTACAGTTCCTTAATTTAACTAAATCATGTGCTTGTCTTTTAAAAATTAGTTTCGCGTTAAAATTTCAGACTTAAAAGGGCGAAGTAGAATAATATATATTAAATAATATAGAATATATTATAGATACAAAATCCTGAACTATATTTATTAATTGCTCCCATATTTATTTGTCAAGCAAGTTAATGTTGTAGAAATCATTTTAAATGCAGAAAGTGTATTTAATATTCGTACTTCACTTGTTGCTGCTGTTGCGGCTGTGGTATTTTAGACTTGTGCTGATCTTACCAATTACTTCATTAAAAGCCCGCGACTATCGGGTATGCAAGCGGCTGCAACAACAACATCAGCAGCAACAACAACATCAGCAACAACAACAACTACATCTACAACAACAACATTTGCTCATTGACAATGAAATGTGAGCTCATCGCGTGTATCTTTTACGTTGCCACTTCCATTCGGCCGGAAAATTGCCGTTTAAAGCGCGTGAAAATTGTATTTTTTTTTTTTGGTTTCTTGGTAAGACCTTATGCCCATTAAAAATGTTTAAGAGCGGGTATATTAGATTTGAGCGGGCAGTATAAATATAAGTATAATTTAAAAAAAAGCTGTACTTACCCCATCCTGCATGTTCATAATGAATGAAACTTCCGCAGTTCTGAAAAGTCTAGTTCCAAGTCCATTTCTTTGTCTAAAACTGTTTCATTTTTGATACACGTTTTCCTTTGACTACTATTTTTGTCATCTGAAAATTATACAACAAAATTAAGTGTTAAAAAGAAAAGTCATCAGGGTATTCTATATTAGGTTGGGGTGGGGAGAATTTGAAAAGTCTAATTTACAGGGCATCTGCTAGTCGAGCATACCTGATTGGTTTGTTTGCTGTTAACCGTTAAGCGCGTGTGGACAGCAGCAAATGAAAGTGTGTCACTAAGCCTGGGAAATTGTTAACTGATATGCCTCGATGTTGTTGTTGCTGTTGTTGCTGGGGCTGGGGCTGGGGCTGGACTTGCCGGCAACTCTTGTAAATGCGTAATGATGCAACAATTTTCTTATCACATTTTTGTTGTCATTGACAGCGAATAAGTTGAAAGTCGACTCCCGGCTTCGACGTTGGCCTCGACTCCGTCTCTGGGTCCCCTCTCCGGCTACGTCTTTTGCCCCGTCTCCGTCTCCAGCTTCAGCTCCAGCTCCGACGTTGGCTTTTGGCTGCCTCCGATCGATTCCTATAAATTGACTCCTGTTTATTGGCATTTGCCAAGCGACATGTGTTTGTTTATAAACCGTTATCACAAATGTTTGCTCAATGTTGTTGTTGTTGTTGTTGTTGTTGCTTATTCAATTATTGTGCAAGCAATTTTCATATGCTACTCCATGGCATTGGCATGCCTTGGAATGCCAAGCCTAACTATCTATCCATCCTGCTATCTATGTATCTATCCAGCTATCCATCTGCTTCTTTGATTTATGCTGTGTGACTTGTGGCAGATGCTTCATGGAATTAATACCAATTAAGAGTAAAATAGGCAAAATATTTGTTGAAATATGCTGTCTTCGAACGGATTCCTCTCGCACTCCTCTTCTCTCCAAATGCAAAAAAACATATTAATAATAATATTCTACACACAGCACTTCACAAATGCACATCTATTTGTACACATATCACAGTATTTGCAGTAGGCAATAATTTATTGAATGTCACAGCCTTCAATAATCATATTTTTTTATTTACATTCAATTCAAAGTAGTTTTTAATTGACTTATCGCGCGCGTTTTTCGCGCGTTTTTCGCTGCAGTTCAGTCAACTTAATTAAAGCTCGCCGTTGCACTTCTCAATGCCATTTTGCGTATGTATTTGTGTCAGTATATATATGTGTGTAATCTATTAAATGAATCAGCGGGAAATCACAATGATAGCGTTTTGCTGGCGTTTTCAGACGCACGCGTTTTTTCGCTGTCTTTTATTTTGGATACACTTGTCGCGACCTTCTTAATTATGTCATTCATTATGTCATTCTGTTTGTTCCGATGAAGCACAACATCCTGCTCGAAAGGCTCAAATTGAGCACATATTATTAGTTATTAATATACCCTTAAAAAAAATATATCCAGACCCATAAAGTACTTATATATTGTAGATCAGCATCAACAGCCAACAAAATTGTATCTATCTATATTATAAAGGGTTTATGGAAAGAATCAGTCGGAAAATATTCGCTTTTTCAAGAAATTTTCGTCAAATGGACTGCACTTACTGAGTGCATATATTAAGCGATATATTCAGTTGGCCAATTATTATTTCTAGGACATATATCTGATCCCCATATTACTTAGCTGTCATAGCAACGATTGTCCAATAAGAATATTGTAAGGACAAGATATCTTATTAATTGATAAACTACAACGTGTTTTTTTAGCTTACATTCTGGCATCAACAATATCAAAACTTATTTCTTAAAAAAAACTATTCAAAAACAAAATATTTGCCAGATATGTGGCAAGGCTGAGAAGACAATGCATTATTAGACTCACCTGGGATTCGAGCCGGAATCCTTTAGTTGTCTGTTCTGCTTCCTTGCCTTGATTTGTTTCAGCGTCAGGGTATTTACTATTCGGTGCACGCAACTCCTTTCTTTTTTGTTTGTTGTAACTTTTTTATTGATCAGCAGCAGCTTTGCACCTTTATTGCCCGAACGTTGCTTACATTAAATGTTGTTGTTGTTGTCCCTTTCGTTGCTGTTGCTGCTGTCGCCAGAAGCAATAAAAAAGTAAAAAAAAGGAAACGCAAAAATTTTAGCGTACGCAGTTTTTATACCGCAGTCGTTATCAGAGCTGTCCCCGTTGTTGTTGTTTCTGCTGCTGCTGCTGCTGTCTGTTGCAGATGCCTACAAAACTGCACCCAATAAAGTCATAAAGTTGCAAAAGCAAACAAATCAACCAGATGTAAACACAAAGTGAACCACCCCCTGCGCCCACCCACGGAGCACAGAGGCAGAAGCCACTCTCTGAAATCCAGAATCACAATCAGAACGAGAATCAGATCGAGCAACTGCCATTTGGACACTCACTGGAATAAATGTGCATGTGTACGCATATGTGTACGCATGCACACATGAAGACGTGCAGACATGCACATATATGTACACATGCACACATGTAGACTTGCGCTCATGCAAGCATTCACACATGCAAGCATGCACACATGCAGACATGCACGCATGCAGACATCCACACATACAGACATGCACACATGCAGACATGCACACATGCGTATGTCATAAACGCCGCACGATTGAATCATCAACTTGGCAGACAACACGGCAACAGCCTCAGTCTCAGCCCTGCCCCATCAAATGCCACTATGCCACCAAGCTCCATGAATTATTCAGTGTGCCCAATTTGTTATTGCCCCACAGCTTCGCAGCAGCTGCTGCCTTTGAACTTACCTCCCGCCATTTGTTGTAGGTGAAGTCCCTCGCAAATTGCGGCAGTTAACCGTGACCGTGGCATGTTGCATGCAACGCCCACATAAAGTCATTAGTCGGCCATAAAATGCGACTGCAACTGAATTCCGTATGCCTCCAAGTAGATATAGATACAAACGCTGTGTTGGTCATCAATAAGGATGTGGGGATATCAAATAATGGTGGCAACTGGACTTAATTTAATTAAGCCGCGAACAGGAGCTCAGATCGAGAGTCCTTTTAAATCCCATTTCTTCCATTAATTAAGCACTGTTCCCATTTGGTCCTTTTTGCAGGACATTTGGCTAACAAGAATTTGGAAAGCATCGCGAACGAACCGCTCTGCAAATTGCCGCAGCCGCGCGTCATCAGGATGGACTTCGAAACGTCGAAGACATATCGGCCGCATGTCGCGGTGCTGCATCGTTGCGATGAGAACAGCAGCTGCTGCCCCACCAAGACGGTGTGGACGGCCAAGAACACGACGATTGTCGAGAAGGTCTTCTGGGTGCGCTCGGTGGGCATTCCGAACTCCCATCCGAGGATAATATCGCTGACTAACCACACCGAATGCCATTGCATCAGTCGGGCCGCCCAGCGGCGCAAGCGCAGTTCCCAGTGCCAGTGTCCCAAGCACTTCATCAACTTTGGCGTCCAACAGGGCGGCGCCCCAAGCAGCTGCCGCTGCGACTGCCACCTGAGCCACACGACCTGCCAGCGCATGAAGAACGGCGACGAGGGATTCGCCGTCTCCGAGCTCAGGTTAGTCCCAGCGAATTACTTTCCAGCCAAGCAAAGTAACCAAAGCCTAATCCTGCCTCCACTTTAGATGCATCCGCAGCAACGCGTGCAGTCCGCCCGTCTGCAACTACGGCCTCTTCAACACAACAATTGGACGCTGTCCGCGCCAGCTAGGCTTCGGCTAAGCCACGCCCCGTTGGCAGCTGCTGTCCTTCAGTCCAGCAAACCAGAACTGTGTATACATTTAACTATTACCACGTACATACATATACTACATTTACTTACCTAAATGCACAACAAACACAAGCATCGTCCATAGTCGGCAGTTCATGCAACCAGAAGTAATACAAATCTCATAAAATGCATGGCACAAGGTGCTCCGATTCCGGTTTTCACATTCAATATCTTTCCAAAACTTTTGAAAACCTGCGACAAGATAAAAAGTTAAAAAGTTAAATATTTAAGAAAAGTTTTTAAGTTTTAAGTAAAATATTTTTCGAAGTAGAGAAACTTTTTTTGTACCTTTTATCTAATGCAAATTAATTCCGGTTCACGGTTCAATTTAATTATTATTTTCCAAAACTTTTGAAAATCTGCAAATAGATAAAAAATTGAACAAAATTAGTTTGTTTTCGAATGAAATATTTAAGAAAAACGCATATTTAAGGTGAATATTTTTTTAAAAATAGAAAAGGTTTTTAAGAACGTACCTTTCATCTGAAGTTGAGTTAAAAAAATTAATTTGGAATTAGTGGGAACGTTCCTTTCATCTGAGGTCAAGTTAAAATATTAAAGAAAAGTTTATATTTTTTTAAAAAGTGAAATATTTTTTGAGCATACACAACATAATTGCTCTATAAAGTAAAAACATTTCTCTTTTTTTAAAAAAATATTGTCCTTAAATATAAACTTTTCTTTTCATTCAGCATACACTGTAAATTAAATTTAAAAAGCATTTTCTTAGGAGTTAAGCCCCTTTACAGTAGATGCTTCTGGGGGCATGAACTGCCATTGTAACGATATTTGAAAACATTTAAAAAAAAAGTTTCGGATTCGGAAATGCCGAGCAAAAAGTATTGAAACCAACTAACATTCAATTGTACTTAAGTTTCGCGTTTAAGCTTCAGCTCTAAACTTATTATAAATAATCTATATATTAATTACGATTAAACGATACAGCTAGTCAGCGATCGCAGATGTGTCTACTCTATGGCCCGATCCAGGCGTCGGTTCAGCCAAAGGGCCGCCGCGACCAGCAAGCCCAGGCTGCCATAGACGACGATCCGAACGTCGAGCAGTTGGCGTTGCCAGAAGTTCAAATGGCGGGCGTTGCCAGCCAGATGCTGGGCTCCTTTATGCCTAATCACATACTCCAGCCAGTAGGCAGTCAGCGCGCTGGCATTCAGAGGACGATCCCTATAGAGCTGGGACTTTCTGCGTATGCTCTGCCTGAAACTGTCCTCAAGGAGCAGCCTTTTGATGGCGCCCAACAGCTCCGCTTGGGTTACATTGGCCAGCTGCAGGGTCAGGCCCCAGCCCTTGGCCTGCATTTTTTGCAGATTCGGACGCTGATCTCCGAGCAGAGGCAGGCCCAGCAGAGGAACGCCATGGTAGAGCGCCTCGCTGAGGCTGCCCTTGCCGCCGTGCGTGATGAAGAGCCGGGCGTGCGGTTGAGCCAGCAGCTGCGCCTGTGGCCACCACCTGGCAAGCTTGATGTGCGGATGCGCCGAGCAAATCTCGCTGGCATGTGCTCCATCGTAGGTCCAGTAGATATCATAGTCCGGCAGCTGACCAAACGCCTCCACAATGCTGTGCTCCAAGTGCGCGGGCGAGGTGCGCCAGCTGAAACGCGTGCCCAGGCTAAAGAGGATGAAGGGCCTGTCAGCTTCCAGGTGCATTGCTCTGGTCGTCTGCTCCACCACAATACCGCCAATGTCTAGCATGCCGGGCAGCAGCGGCCCAATGGGACCCTCGCTGATCATATGATGGTTGTTCAGAGCGAGAACCACGCGACGACGCATTGCCTCAAAGCTGGGATAGCGGGGCGGGGGAAAGTGGGCGCTGGAAGGGCATTGATCGGGGAGTTAGTCAAATAAACAAGGAGATTATTTGCATTTAAGGCAGCAGCTCAACTGGAAGCTTCCCTGTAGGCAGTTTCTTTCTGAAATAACTTATTTGTTCCTTATCCGAGCTGTATAAAATCTTGTTATATAAGTCCAGGAATTATGCGTATCAAATAAGAGTCAGGTAACCGAGACTGCCCGACTCAGATATACCCTGCAAGCAGCTACGAGCTGCTTCTGCTTTATAGATGTTTATTTTAAAAATATCTTCCATTCCAGATCCATATGTAAAGCGCTTAAGGCTTCAGAGCTATGCTTAAAAAAAGCGTAAAATCGATATTTATCGATTTCATTGACAACTTGAAATAAACTGGTTCTGCATGGCTAATATCAGTTGATTGTTCTTTTTCTTGGTAGAAAAAATCTTTCTGTGCCTAGCAAATCTCTTGAATATATTTTCAGAGCTCAAAACCTGAGTCAGTCGAGCTCACCTGTAAATTCTTTGCATGACGCGCCTGGCGAGCAGCTCCGATAACTTCTCCCATAGGCCAAAAATGCAGCCGGCGAGTCCAGTTCTTTGCTGACTGTCATAAGGTTGGGTCACATACGAACGTTCCTCGGGATTGCCCAGCAGGCTGTGGACAAAGCCAATCGGCTGCTGTGTACTTATTATGGCCACGGGACCGTCGAAATGTGCTGCCACGCCCAGCAGATGATCGTTGAAATGGTAGCCGAGCAGCAGCAGATCATAAGGCGTTGTGGGCGTGGCATGCATAAACTGCAGCCAAGCAGGCTGTTCCAGCAGCTGACCGGAGAGCTCCAGGCGGGCGAGCGTCCATTGCAGGCGACTCACGAAATTGGGTTCGGGCAGCAGCTGCTGCTCCTTCGGCAACTCCCACGGCACCAGAAAGTGTGTAATGTTCGCAGCCAGCCAGTCATACTCATCCTCCAGTGGCAATGTGGTGACCAGGGTCAGCTGGTGTCCACGCTGAAGGAGCACACGGGCCACCGCCAAATGGACGAGCAGCTGCGACCGATGTACGCCCACAAACACGCCCAGTATATGGCTGCCGCCGACCCCAAGAGTCCAGCAGGCCAGCAGTGCGAGTGGATAGCCGTTCATAACTGACGGGGCCCACATCATTAAGCGCCCATTAGCCTAGTCCGGAGCCAATCCATCAAGCTGATAACATGCCCGCAATTTGATTGCACAAACAAATCAGGGCATAAGTCACAACAAAATGCCATATTAGAAGTCCATGAGTGAGTTTTATCAGACCAAAAAATATCATAACAAATAATGAGTAACATTTTGGCTGCGATTCTCATTATTTGGGTAATCAAAATGCATTTACGTTCATTTCGCTGGGGAGCTTTAACAGTCGGTTTATCAAAGTAAACAATTCAGATCAACTTCAGTTTGTGAAGTTCTGTTAATTAAACCGCCTGGCAAAATTTACCGGCCAGTTTATCAACGTGCTTTATAGACAGGCAACTTTAACAGCCGTTTAAGTTTAAGTTTACAACTAAACTCAACTTCCGTTTATTTTATTAACTTAAGCGCCTGTCAAAATTTACCAGCCAGTTTATCCACTTGCTTTAATTTTCACTGTGAATTTTAACAGACGATTCAAATCCAATTTATCAAGGCTTCTCACTAAACCACTTTCAAAATGTATCATCCAGTTTATCCACCTCCTTTATAATTCGCATGGTAAAATTTTACTGTTTTATCTGATTTTACTTTATGTTTTATTACTCATTATAATCTCCTCCCGTCTCCTGTCTGTTTTATATGTGGGTGTTTGTCTTATTATTTTTTGGGCATTTTTGAGAAAAAATCCTCATGAAATTCACGCAAAATCAACTTGAACTTGTCCGCTTGCTCTGTTAGCATAATCTTATACTCATTCCCCTCGTTGTCAAGCATTTCGTCAGCATCTCTAAGGGTTTGGATATAGCGCAGCCAGTTTGGCTCCAATTCGACGATCTGTTGACGCGTTTCTTCCGCCAGTGTGACGCGATACTTGTGCAGCAGGACGAACAGCTCCAGCATGGGCGTGAACCTCGACTGTTTCAGGGGCAAGGCCTTGACCAGGCGCTCGAACAGCTGGTTGGCCAGTATCGATTCACTGTGCGTGCGTGGCACCCGCATCACTTTGCGCTCATTGCGTTCCATATAGCGATAGACGGCTGTACGAGAGAGCACATAAAAATGTACAATAGCTTAATCTTGAATTCCAAAAAAGGTGTGTCGATTTTCCAAAGAACTTAAAACACGACTCCAATAAGAGATTTTCGTTAAAGAACCAAAAAGATCCTTAAATAAATTTCAAAAAGTTGCTGGATTTGAGCCGGCGATTTTGTGTTGTTAGTTCGGCGCTGCGTTACCTAAGCAGCTCTGGCGCGCGACTTGATATTTGCAGAGCACACAACAATGTTTGACACTCGTTTTCCAAAAATGTTCCTGCATCGGTAGGTGGAGTTTTCCAAATCCTTGCTCTGGTGTTCACCAATATCACAAAGGATAACGACTTTCTAGCTTATACAATTTAAACTGCGCGCTGTTCATTAATCAGTCAACATAATTAATCAATCAGTCAGTTTGTCAATACACTGATCAATCAAACTAATTAATCAATCAGTCAACGCAATAAATTAAACATATAAATAGGTACACATATATACATACACTAAATTAAACAATCAGTCAGTCAGTTTATCAGTCAACATAAGTAATCAATCAGTCATTAAGTCAGTCAATCGTTCAATCAGTTAGTCAGTCTACCAGTCAACATAATAAATCAATCAGTCAGTCAGTCATTCAGTAAATCAGTCAACGCAATCACTTGAATATATATGTATGGTACACAATCAGTCAACAAATGTCATCAATCTGTCAGTCAATCAGTCGATGCAATAAATTAAAGGTATATATAGGTACACATACGTACATTGAATTAGTGCCGTTGCATGATCCAGCAGAATCTTAATGTTCAGTGCCTGCCACTTCTCGATCCAGTCCAGGAGGGTGCTCTTGATAGGATTCTGATTGATGAGCACAAAGTGGACATGGGCAATGGCATCTACGAAAGTAATGTCATCGGCCAGCGAGCTGTAGTGCTCGATGCCGCCCTCGAAGACGCCCGCAGTCTTTGCGCTGGCCAGCACTCGCTGGGTGAATGCCTCCTCCGTCAGCTCCCAGAGCGCATGATGCTGCTGCCAATGGCTCACATACAAGTCCATCTGCTCCTGCTGCCGGGCAATCTCAGCCTCAATGCGGCGCACCAGCTCCGAGCATTCGGCATCCTCGCGAAACGCTCTGGCAAAATTCGGACGTCGCTGCGCCTTCGGCAGCTTCAACTTGTAGCCCAGCCGTGGAAATTGATCGACCAGGCTCTGGACACGATCAACTGTGCCGCGCAGCACAGTGCCAATTGTCAGCATGTCGGGCGTAAGCACAATGCGAGAGTCCCTGACGTCCGATTCCACAACCAAAATGGGCGCAGGCGCCATGTCCTCATCGCAGTGCAGCGCAGCCAGCAGCAATTCCAGGGAGCTGCGCGCGCAGCTGACAAAAGAGCTGGCCAGCATATCGTCCATGACATTCACATATCGATGCCACTCGCTCGCCATCTGCAAGCATTCAATGGGATGAATTATGGATAATCTAGGGTAGCAAGAGATCTACCCACCTCGTCCTTAACATCGTCGAACTCTAGGGACACGGCCAGCAAAAGCTCGACAATGGTGTTGTAGTACTTGCGCAACGCACTGTTGCCGCAACTCAGGCAGCTGCTGAGCTGCTGCTCGAAGGCGGAGATCTCCACGGCGCCAACAAAGTTCAGGCGCAGCATGGACGTGTCGCAGATGCGCTCGCAAATTCTGACAATCTGTCGATTGGCGCGCTTGTAGATCTGGATAATCTGTCGCAGCTGCTCCAGCTGCTGCACACAGTCCGCCAGCCACTGGGCGTAACCGTCGCTCGGCTCCACGATGGCGCCATAGGTTAGCTTGTAGATGCCCGGCGCCAGCTGGCGATCGAGGGCCTGGACCAGGGGGCGAAACAGCTTGCGCTCCCGCGCCGTCAACGAGTTGAGCAGGCGATTGTAGTCCAGGCACAAATGCAGTACGCTGTAGCACACCAGGCGCAGCGTCTCGTGGCGCTCGTATAGCCTGCGCATGGCCAGAGGAACCGCAAACGCCAGTCGCTCAAAGTGCTCGGCCTCCAGGCAGATGTGCAAAGCGCTCGCGTCCATGTTGCATTGGAGCAAGGCCTGCGGCTGCCTGCTGCGCAACAGCAGATAACGCTCCAGTTTTTGGCAAAGATTGGGCCCGCAATCGGCATACAACTGCTGCCAATTCTCGTAGGAAAGACGCATCTGCCGCTCGAACTCCGTGCGCAGCAGCTCGAACTTGGCGAGCACGGCACTCGCCTCTGGCACAGGCGGCAGCCACGCGGCGCTGCTTGCGACGAGGCGACTGCGCAGCCAGGTCAAGCGCTCCAGATTGATGCGAGAGGCCAGGGCGTGGGAGACGTGGCGCGGCAGCCAGGACTCGTGCTGCTGGCGACGCAGCTGCAGCAGCTGGCGCGTTGTCTCGTCCATGTCCTCACCGAACAACTGCCACACGTGGCCCACCTGGCGGAGATAGCATTTGCGCAGCGTGGCATGGTACGAGAAGTAGAGCAGCACGTTGAGCGCCTCCAGTGCCTCCTCCACGTTGCACACGCGCTGGAACACGTTCGCAATAAGACGCTGCTGCGTCTCCTCCAGGCGCTGCACCCCCCGCCTATAGCTGGCCATCTGGTGGTACCATTCGCCGCGATGCACATTCAACATGAGCTGTTGCGTCTTGCAGCTGCGCAATTGTTGCAGCGTCTCGAGAAATTGTTGCTGCACGCTGACCGCAATCTTCTCCAGCTCCTCGCCGCTGGTGCCGCCGAATTGGGTCTGCGTTTGGGTCTCCTGCTCGTCGAGGCGTCCAAATACAATCATCGCCTCGCATATGTCCTTCAGATCGCCGAGACGCTCCATGAACGCATGCACATGATTGAATATGATGCCCAGGTCCAGTTGCCAGTCGCAGTTCTCCCGCAGCCGGCACGTGTGCTCCTTGTAGGCCAGGCAACAGTCCAGTGACAGATCGCACAGCTTGATGCCCAAGCGAGGCTGACCGGCCAGTATATTATCGAGATCTATCTGCGCCGTGCAGTACTTTATGATCTGATTGCTTAGATTCCGAAAGAGTATGGTGATCCGATCTGGGCTCCGGTAGTGCTCCGAGTTCACCCAAATGAAGCGCAGCAGGTGAATGATATGCGGCAACAATTGCGACACGGTCGCCGGCGACGCGCACTCATCAATTTTGGCGCAAGGCTCCACAAGCAAATGCAGATATTTTATATTCGACATGGCCAAGTCCTGCTCCAGCTTGGCGGCCTCCAGCAGCTCCTCGACTTGGGGCATGTGCACTGATTTCCACTGGCGCAACACCTTGAAGATGCGCTTCACATCGAACTGTTCCAGCTGCGAATTCAAGCCCTGCAGCACCTCCACTGCAAGGGAAAACAAGTTAGAGGGATTTCATCAGCAGCAGCAGCAAACATTATGCAAACATGCATACACACAAATGTACATACATTATACATACATATAAACGAAATAAATATTGTACTCACAGCGATACAGCCAGAACTCGTACTCATCGTTCATTGTGGCCAACTCGTTGGCCGCCATCAAAGTGCGATCGCCTAGCACGGTGCGTATCTGGGTGGTCCAGTAGACGGCAATGCTTTCCAGGCTCTTGAAAAGCGGCCTGTCACAGACGATTTGATCGCCGCCAATCTGATGCAGCACAAATGGCACATAGAGGGCCGTTATGCCGCCAATCTTGGAGTTCATGGCGAACAGAAAGGCCAACAGATTGTCGAGGCTGGCGCAGAAGCGGGCGCGCACCGTCTGGTTCCAATCTTTGTAGTTGCGAAAGATGGGCGCATAAAAGCGCTCGAGCAGCCGCATCCAACAGCCATCGACATCGCTGTGTATGGTGCCAAAGTGAATCTCGTCGTGGAAGCCATCGACAGTGAATATCTCGTTGGGCTCGCCGCGAAAAAAATAGCTTATGTCATCCACTGGCTGGGTGGGAAAACCCAGATAAGCGGTGAGTGTATTCTCGGCATAGAAAATGGTCAGCAGGGGTTCATTGACCTCGAGCAGCCAACGGCGTATATTATCCAGCGATTCCTCATGCCAATCCTGTTGATTCAGCGAGTAGAGCGTGGTCATGCGCTGTATAGCCTCAAGTAATTGATTGAGATCCTCATCCGTATATGTTGGACGCGGCGTTGGCGGACGAATCTCCTCCGGCTGTACCTCCACCTTGTGCTCTGTGCGGGATAATCGAAGTGAATACTAGCGTAAAGTTTTAATGTTAATAAATACCCTCATCATCGGATAAATCCGAGTCGGTTAGCCGTTCGTCTTCCACAGCGCTGGAGGATGTCATTTTGCACTTTTCACTTTAAAATAAAACAACGCCTGGTTCACATGGTAACTGCACTTTTAAAATCCGTTAGTTCGGCAGCTGACGCTCACACGTGTTTTTCAACACTTAAAAGTATTGCGGGAAACGCCTATCGATATATCGATTAAATATTGTTTGGTTATCGAAGCCAGAGTCAATTCAAAGCGTCAAACTGACGCGTTTGCAGAACACTTTTGCAGCGATAAATAAAATACAAACAAATTATGAATAATAATAACGAAGCCTTGGAGCTGATCTGCGCGACGGCCAATTCGCTATTTCCCGAATTGAATGTGCGCCTCAACGAGGTATCGCACCCCACCGAAGCATTTCTCACCAAGGTCCTGATACACTATTTGCGTTCGTTTGGATTTCGAATGGAGCCGCCGTATAATATCGAGAACGAGGCCAAGGATACGTCCAGAGAGAAGCGCCAGTTCCTGAGCAAGCTATGCCGGCAAGTGGAGCGCATTGTGCAAATCTCGTTTCCCGGCAAAATGTTCACCTACATGGACATAATCGAGCCGAGTATGCGTTAAAAGCTTGAATAGAAATTAAAACAATAAATAATTGCACCTTTAACAATTGCAGCTGCCAAGAAGACATCGAGTACCCTGGACGTGCTCTTCAATTACAGATGCTTCTACAAAATGCACAAAAAGGAGGTCCTCTCCCCCGTTGTCGAGCAGCACAAGGAGCGGCAGTTCCTAATCGCAGCTATCACGTCCAAGCGCAACGAACTGGAGCAGAGCAAACAAAGAGCTGCCCAGATCAAAGTGGACATAGGCAAGGCGCAGGCCAGCATAGCCAGGCTGCACGAGCAGCTGCCCAAGGCGGAGGCGGAGCTGCACGATCAGTCCCGAATCCTAAGACAGAAGCAAGCCGAATTTGCTCAGCAGGAGGAGCAGTTGGCGGAAATAACCAACCAAGTGCAGCAGTTCAAGCAGCTGCTGGTCCAGGACAGCGAAGTGGCCGATGTGGAAGCGTAAGTCGGCTTATAAGCAACAGGAACCAGGTGTCATTTGCCATTCTGATCCTCTTATTCCATTCAACAGGCAGAACGCACAGATAGTTGCCCGTATCAAGAGCTGCAAGGAGGAAATGGCCAAGCAGGAGGAGCTCTACAAGGAGCGACGCGTTGAGATTGAAACAAATCAGCTGCTGAACGACGAAATCGAGAAGACCATGCAGATACTTCCGCCCGAGGTGCTCGATGAGTACAAGGAACAGCTCAAGCTCAAGGAACGCATGGAAAAGAAGCATGGTGCTGTGTTGTCCAAGCATCAGGGCTTCCTGGCCGTCAGAGAGAAACAGAAACAACAAGTCGAGCTGTGTGAGAAGGAGCTGAAAGCGCTCAAGCTGCAATACGAGCAGGATGCACTCGGGCCAAAGCAGAAGCTCGCCGAACAGGAAGCGGAAATTAACCAGCAAACAGAGAGCGTGGAGAAGCTGGAGCTGGACAAGATCAGGTTGCAGAATCACATCGATGAGGAGCAGCGTACGGCAGAGCACATCAAACTGGTTTTCACTAAACTTGTTGGCGAACGCACGTTGTAGACTTAATATATCCATTGTTTATTTCTAAAGTTTAAACTGTTAACGCTCATTGTGTGGTTAGGTACGAACGCGGGCCGAATCATGTATCCATTTTTTTGCTCTCCAAATGAGCCTTCAGCTGCTGGCTGAAGTCGTCCTCGACGTTGTCGTCGTCCCAGTTGTCCTCCCACACGTTGGGCTCCTCCACATCGTCTGCAACGCGAAAATCTGCAACGCAAAAAGCCTGTAAAATGACATTTTGAGCGAAAAAATAAAACAAATTTGTCACCTTCCGCGGGAAACTCTTCGAACTCGTCATCCTCCTCGAGCAGACCAAGGTCTTCGCTTTTCTGATTCGACTCCTCCTTATCTTTATCCTTCTCTTTGTCGGGCGCAGACATTTTTCGAATGTTTGTGTGTGACTTAAAGCTGAATTTTAATTGTTAAACAATTTTCTTCACTCTGACAATTTGACGCTCTGCCGAAATGATGCCGAGTCATTTGTCTAGAGATTTCCATACAATACGATATATCGATACATTAGTGTTGAGCAACATTGGCAATCGTTCTGTTTACCGGCACTACATGCACAGCGCTGCCAGATTGTCAGATCGGATTGCGCGCGCTCTTTGGCTGCTATTTGAATTATTTATATATTTTTTATTTAACATTTTGACTTGTGGCTATTTGTATTTCAAGCTAATAGGGTTATTGAGCAGTTGAAATGTACGTAACGTTAACATTTATAATAAATAGTTTGCGGTATGCTTTTGATTTATTGCATTTTGTTTTGTTGCATAGGCTATTTTTTCATTTAGTTGGATTTTCGCTTGCCAAAACTGTTGCTTTTCTTGTTTTTGTTTGTTTGTTTTTTTTTTTTTGGTTTTCAGCTTATTTTATAAATTTTGTATGCCAAAATATATCTACATATGTATTAATATAGATTTATTTCTGTTTAAATATGCTACTTTTTATAAAGGAATAAAACACCATACATTTGAATATTGTTTATACCATTTTGAACTTATTGTTCGATTTGTGTTTGTTTTTTGCTTTGTTTGTGGATTTAAATTTTTAAATGGGCTTCAACGCTCTTCTTCTTCCGCTTCCTTCTGTTTCTGCTCTATACATTATTCATCACAGACGCACAACGCACAAATAAAAATGCAATTATTATCATCATTTAACAATTTGTTTTTTTAAGCTCCATTTTGCTTGAAAACTTCTCACGCTGACCTCTTTAGAAAATGTCATGTCCTACGACCGCGCATAACTGATTACAGGATATTTCAAATAACATATATAATTATTTTTGTGCTTTTTTCTTTTAATACTAATAAGTGGCTGCTTTTCGAAAGTTTTCAAAAAATAATATAGTATATAACTTTTGCTTGCATAGCTGGTGCTGCTAATTTGATCAAGTATTTAAAAAGTGCATGCCGCGTCCCTCGTCCCTTAAGTTGCACGGCCCTCGTGTGTGTATGTGTGTGTTAGTTAGTGGTTAAGTTGATAAATATATATATATATATATATATATATATATATATATATATATATATATATGTGTGTGTGTGTGTGTATGATTAAATACGAATCTAGTACATATAGTAGTTGAAAGCTTTCTAGAAAAAACAGTTTATCACATATAGAGAGGAAGTGTTAAATATGTTTTCTGTTGCGTTCAAAAATGTTCTATGTTGCGGTCGTGTTTTGATTTTAGATTGGTTTTGGGTTGAATAAAACTATTACAAACATGCATGTATACAATCTGTAAATTAAATTAAATAGCTTAGCCTCATAAAATGCATCATACATTCATACGTTATTTCCATTACATATACATATTTCCATTGTTTGTTGTTGTTGTTCTTATTTTTGTTTTTTTTTTTTGTTTTTTTCAAGAAGAGCACCAATAAAATTACGATTGAGCTTAAGCAAAAACAAGGTTTTTCTCGGGAGTACGGCAAACAAGTTGCATTAATAAATAGGCGAAAAAAAAATCAATTATTTTAACAGGTTTCACAATACGTTATACGTTCTAGCACAAAGGGCGAGTGGAGGACTCGCTGCATTCGTTTGCTCTCACCTTCAATCGCTACTTTTTGGAGCTTGACTCGCCAGGTGCGAACCTTTATAAATAGTTGAGAGCTATGTGTGTTTGTTTGTTTGTTTGTGTGTGTGTGTCTCTTTTTAAAACGCTAAGCGTTCTCTAACGGTTTTGTTTCGCGCTTACAAACTACATAAATACACATCGAACATCGAAAATATTGATAGTGCATATATATATGCATAATAATAAAGGATTAATATTATCGCATGTGTCAATCGAATGCCAACACACACACAGTTAAAAGTCGCTGACAAGCCACAACGAGTAAACAATTCGCAACAATTACAGCGAGTGTTTTACTCGTTGCTGGTTTAAAGCACATTTGATAATCTATGCTTTGAGCCATAACGAGTAAACAACTCGCACTTAAGAAAAGCACTCGCTGACAACAATTATAGCGTGTGTTTAACTCGTTGCTGGCATAAAGCTTTGTTGACAATATATGCTTTAAGCCATAACGACTAAACAACTCGCCGTCAACAGCAGCGAGTGTTTTACTCGTTGCTGGCTTAAAGCAGACTTTACAATATATGCCTTAGGCCACAACGAGCAAACAACTCGCAGTGAAGATGAGCACTCGCCGACAACAATTACAGCGCGTCTTACTCGTTGCCGGTTTGAAGCAAACTCTACAATATACGATATACATACACATAAATATATAATAATTACAAACAACAAATTACGACAGGTTCCTTCAATAGGTTGATTTTTACTCGCGTCTGGTACGCTTCGGCCGCGACGGTGCAATCGAATCCGTCGACGCGGCACTCGTCGCATTGCCAGCACCAGCCCCGCCTCCTACAGCGCCGCCCTCTGTCGAGGCAATCGCTGTGATGGTAGCGGATATAGTCGCCGGCTGTCGACTGTCGGCGCCGCCGCCGCGCACTTTGCGCGATGCCACCGACTGGGCGGTCACCTGCAGCGAGATGGCGTGTGTGTTGAGCTTCTCGGCGAGCAGCAGATCCTTCAGGCCCTTCATTTTCTGACTGTACAGCGTGATCACCGGACGTTTCAGCATTATTTCAAAGGGATCGTAATCATCGACAGCGGCCGGCTTGCTGCTCGCCAGCTCCAGCTGGCTGCTTTCCTCCAATTTAGCTTCTTTGTGCTGCGACTGCGACGGCGACTGCATCTGCGCCTCGGTGGACGGCGAATGCGTCAAGTTGCTGCCGCTGCCGCCGCCGTTGCTTGTTGTTGTAGCCTCCTTGTCAGCCTCCTTGCTGCTGCTTGTTTTAATGTTGTTGTTGTTGTTGTGCGACAGATCGCTGGACGTTGTTTGCTCTGCAGCCGCTTGTTGCTTTTGGTCAGCGAATGGCTGACCGCCGCCCTGCAGCAAAAAATCTGGATTCAGTATCTTCTCGCCACAGGCGGCCGTCAAATCTGCGAGAGTTGTCGGCAGCTCCGATTTGGATTTCTGTGAATATGAATCAATGTTTGAGTGAGCTGTTCAGACATATTCATATATTTATGCTCCAAATGTGTAACGCATAGAAGAAGACCCCATATAGTGTGTATTGTATTTTTCGTGCCGTCCGTCTGTCTGTTTCTATGGGAACTATTTGCAAAATTATAAACTCTTTATATGCCTGATATATGGAAGGGAATATACATATATCTGACAGATGCTTCCTTCTGCCTGTTACATACGTACGCCACAAAAACATTATCCCCCTCTTTAGCCATATACAAAGGGTATCAACATCCATTGAATATTTACAATACATGCATCTTAAAGGCCAGCTACCCTCGTCACATTCACTTAATAATAGATCCGAGCAAATGCGTCTTACCTCATCCTTTTTGGCCAGCGTGTTGTTGTTGTTGTTATTGTTGCCCTCCAAATGCAGCGTTGCCTCAGCAGCTGCAGCTGCAGTTGTTGCTGCTGCTGCTGCAGCAGCTGCCTTTTTAGCCTCCAAAGCGGCGGCCTGTTCGGCCTCCAGATCCTCGGGCAGTTTGATGACCACCTGGGAGCGTATATCGTAGTCGAACTTGGTAATGTTAGTGACGAGCGGCTTGGCCCAGCCGATGTGGAGAATGGGCGTCAGGCTGTCCTCCTCCCACTGACAGATGCCGTCGTAGAAGCGCAACAGATTGGCAAAGACCTCCGCGTCGCGGAGAATGCTGCGCGCCGAGTGGCCGGAGCTTTCCGTTTTCATGACATAGGGTATTAGCTCATTGGCAATGTCCAGCAGCTCCTTGTAGATCTCCTCGTCGTCGCGGCACTGATACGTGTACAGCCTGATGACATCGGCCGCATTAGCCCAGGCGGCGAACGCCTCGCGATACTTGAGCAGGCGATTGTAGTAGTTGCCCTGAAAGATGTGCGGATAGACGTGATGGTTGTGGTAATAGTTGCGCGCGGAATCGATGGCCTCGCGGAACAGCTGCTCGCAGCTGATGCTGCGATGCGTGCGATGGATCTCCTCCAGCTCGCCGAGCAGGCCCAGCGCCATCGGATAGCGCTTCAGATGGCCCAGATCGTACAGTAGCCAGAGCAGCTGCTGCTGCAGCTCGGCGACTTCGACGCAATCGCTGTTCGCGCTCAGGGAGATGTTGAGGGCGACACAGATGGCGGCCACCTCCATGCCGCGCTCACAGACAACGGCCAGGCCGCCCAGATAGAGCCAGGAGCCGGATTCGATGCCGGCGCTAATGTCCTGGCCGCGCTTATCCTCGCTGCCCTTGCCGTGCCAGGTCACCTCGATGCTCTCCACATGCTTCTGCCCGAACACCACCCAGGCGTGATCCTCGGATATGGCCAGCCGGACATCGCGATAGCCGAGCAGCTGACAGCCGGCGGTGGTGGCCAGCGCAACGCCAAAGCAGTCCAGCTTGTTGCCCGACAAGTAGCTGTAGAGGTTCTGCAGATGCGCCCGATCCTTGTAGCTGCTCCTTATCAGCGAGTTCCATATCACATCGGACACCTTCTTGATGATCTCACGCGTTGCCTGGCGATGCGGCTTCGGCTTCTCCACCACCGACAAGATCGTCTGGAATTTCTTGTACAGCCCGGCGATCAGCTCGTGCGTGACCACCGGAAAGGGCACGCTGTTGCCCATGATGACGTCACTGCCGCCACCTAATTTCGCAATGTGAATCGAAAAAAAAGCGTTTAAATTAAACAATCAAAAAAAAAGAGAGAGAAACGCCTGTTCCGCATTTCAGATTCGCCCATGTTTTGCTTAACCGCAAATCGAATTGAAATTTATTTTAATTTCTACTCTAAAAAGTATGCTAAAACATTTTAGAATCATTTTTCAATCTTCCGAATACAGTGAAAACTCCTTTGGCTGAACAAATTAATTATTGCCCATCCACCTTGACCTAAATAAAAATATAGAATATTTTTTAAACTTATTTTGAAAAAATACCTGCTAACATCTGTAAATATGTAGAATATAAAAACAGGAGCCGTTCAAACGAGCTTTCACTGTATCTGTATAAATATTTCTAATTATAAATTTCTCCTAATTTCACAAACTTTAGCTCAAATCCAAAAAACTTGTAATGCTAATTAAAAATACAAAAACTTTGAAATACAGAAAGAAATTAAATTCTATTTTTTTTTTTTGACATTTACTAACACTGAATAAAACACCGTTTCTGAGCACTTTTCTTTTGGATTGAAAATGTAGAATAAAATTTTGATCATGTTTTATGAATGGAATATATGAAGATTAAATCTAAAAAAAACTTTCAAATATTAGCAACCCATTTTTTTACACTCTTTCAACGATGCAATTTTAAATAAAAACAAATTAATTATAAAAAAATTTAAAGCCTAAAAAAAAAATAGGCACCAATTTTCGGAATTGTTATGAACGCGATGTAGAGAGTGGGGAGGGGAGGGGAGATGACAACACTCACCTAGAGCCGCTTGGGCTGCCTGCGCCGCTTGGGCCGCCTCGCCCGTGGTCAGCGACAGCTCAATGTAGCCGACGACAATCGAGAGAAGCGTCAGGTCCGGCTCAATGGGGCTGGTGAGGGCGCGCCGAAAGAGATTGACCACATCCGAAGTGGACTTGAGGGGAAAGAGGCTCGCATCGATGATGCCATTGAGGGCCATGCAGGGGCTGGCGCTGGCGCTGCGAGTGACCGTTGACATGGCTGCAAAGGATTTCTATCGTACTCTGCTGCTGCTCGTTTCTACTGCTGCTGCTTCTTCTTGCTGCTGCGCTGCGCTGCTGCTGCTGCTGTTGCTGTTGCTTAGCACTGGCCGCAGGCGCTGTTGCATGCACACTGGACTTGCATTTCCACTTGGTAGCAGTAGCAGTACAGCCAGACACTTTGTTGCTGCAACATTTGAGGGGCGCTGCGCGGGTGTTTCGCGGGGAATGTTTGTTTGTATGCGTCTCTGTGTGTGTGTGTGTGTTTGTGTGTGTGCAATGGACGCCAACAAGTTGACAAACAACTTTTTTACTTTCCACCTTGTTTGTGCGCACTTTGTTTGCCCTTTTTTCGGACTTATTTTTTTCTTCTTCTTGTTTTGCTTTGTCGCGCTTCTATGTGCGGCTCTCTAGTATGCGTGTGTGTGTGTGTGTGTGTGTGCACTTATTCTTGAGCAGGATTTTTATGCAATCTGCTGCGCTCTCCGTGGCGCTGCATTTTTTTACAGCAATTTGTCTTTTCGTTAGCTTTTTATTGCTGTATGTGTATGTGTGTGTGTGCGTGTGTGTGTATGCGTGCGTCGTGTCGTTCAATTGCACTGACACTTCGTTAATTTTGTCGTGCAGTTGGTTTCTGCTCTTCTTGCTGTTGCTGTTGTTGTTGTTGTTTTTGCCGTTAAATATCCTGTCGTCGCTTCGCACTCGTTTGCACACGTCAGCAGCAACGGTAAAGGCAGCGGCAGCGACAGCGGCCGCAGCAGCGCTTCGGTTTTGGCAGGTGCGTAGCAGCAACGGCCGCAGCAGCAGCAGCAGCTGAAATTGCGTAGCGTTGCCTTATTGCGTAGCATCCAAAATAGCGCGCCTCGCCTCCCCCCGCCAATACACGTGCTTGCTGCGTATGCCAAGGAATTTGCGTCGTTTCTTTAACTTTGATTTAATTGAGGTAAGAACAATATATTTTTTGCACGAATTTAACACAGTTTTAGTTAATACTTTTAACATTTATTTGAATTGTTTGTTGCGGAAAAAACCCGTGAGTTGCGTAGACTGTTTTGTTGTTGCCGCTGCTTTATTATTGTTGGCATTCTGCTTTGGCCACTGCGACGCGTTTTGCCATTTTTAGGCGTCATTTTATTTGACCTGTGCGCATTTGCTAGCACTGTTTCAGCGTTGCCACCAGCTTTGACTAGAACTGCGCAAAGGCGAGCGTGAACGTGACTGCGAATAACAATTGCTAATCTCACTTTTAAATGTCAAACACTGCTCATATATTTAAATTAATGCTACTATTTTATAATTTCGCAAGCTCCGTTTATGAATGTGATACTATTTATTTATCGATAAGTCAGGCATTCTGTGCTGGTGATGTGTCGTGCTCGTGTCGTGATACGATCATCGCTCAATTACGATCATCGATTGCAACTAGTAACTTTTGCAATCGATACTCGCCGAATGCTCATCTCTAAGTTTTGTGCATTTAGTTAATATAAACAAATGCCGGCTTTTCTCGACTTTAACTGCAGCAAAACCATCGACTGCAAACAGGGAGCTGTGCGTGCGGTGCGTTACAATGGTAAGCCTTAAAAAGGTTCGCCTTTCCCTTAACATATTTAGTTGTACTCTCGTTTTTAGTGGATGGCAGTTATTGCATGAGCTGTGGCTCGGACAAAAAGATAAAACTCTGGAATCCAGCCTCGGGCCTGCTGCTGAAGACCTATGGCGGGCATGCGGACGAGGTTACCGATGCGGCCGGCAGCTGTGACAGCAGCTACATTGTCTCCGCCAGCCTGGACAAGAGCATCATCTACTGGGATGTCTCCACAGGTGCGCTAAAGCGGAATATTAACTCCTGGCATATATGAAATACATCTACTCCTGCATAGGTACGCCTGTGCGGCGTCTGCGCAGCCATGCCGGCGGCGTGCGTTGCGTGTGCTTTAACGAGGACTCCTCCATAGCGATATCCGGAGGACGTGACAACGCAGTCATGTGCTGGGACATACGCACTCGCCGCCTGGATCCCGTGCAGGTGATGAAGGAGGCACGCGACTGCATCACCGCGGTGCTCACCAACGAGCACAAGATCTTTGCCGCCTCGCTGGACGGCTGTGTGCGCCACTACGACATACGCGTCGGCGAGCTGACCTGCGACAAGATTGGCCAGCCGATCACCTATCTGGCGCAGACGCGCGACGAGCAGTGCCTCCTGGCTGGCTGCCAGGACAGTGCGCTGCGCCTGCTCGACTGCGAGTCCGGCGGGCTGCTGTCCGAGTACAAGGGCCACCAGGCCGACGACTATCACATCGAGTGCGGCATTCTGTCCAACGATGCGCACATTGTCGCCGGCTCCTGTGCCGGCGACGCCTACGTCTGGGATCTGCTCGAAGCGAAGGTCCTGCAGCGCATTCGCATAAGTAACCCGAATTTGATAGACACTCATAAGTGCCCCTTACTTAAATTATATATTCGCTTCCAGGTGACAATGGCGGTGTGGTGCATTCCCTGGCCACGCATCCCAAGCGGCAGGAGCTACTTTTTGCCCGACGCAGGGACATGTATGTCTTCTCAACGGACGTGCAAATTGAGGAGGAGCAGCTCTAGCACCATAAATAGCCCAACTCTATAGTTCATTTAGCCTAAGTTCATATTTGTACAGAGCTTGTGATAATTCCTATATATATATCTTAAGTACATAAGACCTACGTATTGTACACTTATATATACATATTTATATTAAAGTGCGTAAGTGAGGTCAATCGCTTTTATTTGTAATTAATATATCTTCAATGAACTCACCTGTTTAGCACCCGAACAGCTCCAAAGCTTCTATTTCAATCCCTTTCCTGATCTGCTCTTCTATTTTCCAACACTCAATCCGATCCTCGGCTATTTCCATTTCTTTGTTTGGTCAATTTCGAGGAGGCAACTTTGATCACTTTGTAAATATTCTTAGAGAGTGTCGCAATTTGTAATCTCTATTAAATTTTCACTTTAGTTAACTTATGTGATATACATACATACATACGCACTTACATATATACGTGCATACATACATAAATATATGCATACATACGCACACACGTACATACATGCATGCAATACATACATGCATGCAATACATACATACATGCAATACATACATACATGCAATACATACATGCATGCAATACATACATGCATGCAATACATACATGCATGCAATACATACATGCATGCAATACATACATGCATGCAATACATACATGCATGCAATACATACATGCATGCAATACATACATGCATGCAATACATACATGCATGCAATACATACATGCATGCAATACATACATGCATGCAATACATACATATACACATATTACACATACATAGATACGTACAGCATATGTGCACACATACATATAAAAGTAAATACATACCAACCGAAAGAAAAAAATACCAAAAAAACACTTCACACTAAGCTAAACATGAAAAACTCCAGAGCCTACTTGAATTCTTGAGAATCGAGGAGGAGAGCGTTAGGCAAAAAAAGTCTCATTTAAATTTGCCGCGCAGAAAAAAAAACATGCATGCATACATATATGCATAAGAGCAAGCATACTAACACACACACACATACACATACTTGTATACTTTCAGACAATAATACAAACATTCACACACACATGTAGACTTACACACACGTGTATACACGATTATGTTTTGTAAAGGATTGAAGGTATTGTACGATGCCGCTTCCACAAAAAAGATTACAAGTTTTTTTTTGACCCAAAGAGTCCAAATACATATATCTAATGCTAAAGTGAATGTACATACATATGTTAATTTACATTATTGTTGGACTTCCCAATTGGTTAATTAAAAGCACAAATTGCATTTCTTTGAGGGGAAAAGGAAAAACCATTTATTTGACATAATTTTTTTTGTTATTTTCGTATTTTTTGTTTTTTTTTTTTTTGTTTTTTTTTTAATTATTTAATGTATTTTGTTTGTTGTTTATATAGAGCATGAATGTACGTAGTAATATGTTGTTTGTTTGTATGTATGATCTGGCTTATATAATGCATAAACATGTGGTTGTTGTTCTTGTTGTTGTTTAGCTGTAAATCTAACGGCCGCGCTCTTCAATTACCAAAAATGCCCGATGCATGTACAAATGTGTGTGCGTGTGCGTGTCTGTGTGTGTGTGTGTGTGTGTGTGTGCGCGCGTGCATCGTGTGTGGGTGTGTTATATGTGTATGGGTGGAGCGCCGCTCTCTCCATCATTCTCAAACTCTCTCTCCGTTGTGGGTGGTGGGGGGTGGCCAAAGCCGTTGCTACGCTGCGCTGCGCTGCAGAGCAGAGCTGCTGCTGCCGCCGCCTCGCATAGACACTTGGTGTCTCTTGGGGCCGGACAAAAGCTGACTGCTCTGCGTGCGCGCAGCGTACCAGCGGCTAAGCAGAGAGCTGCAGGCAGTCTACACTCTCTCTTGTCGTCTAAGCGCCAGCCACTCTCACACCCACACACACACACACGACACACACTCGCGCATGCATGGGGCGTTCATTGTGATTCTTTTTCTTCTGAGCTGCAGTTGCAGCGGCCTCTCTCTCTTCTCTTCTATACTTTGAAACTTTCAACTCTGCTGCTTGCACTTATGTACTAAAGCATATTTATTTACTTGACATACATATATAGCTATGTATGTATATGTGTGTGTGTATTTATGGATTTATATATATATATATATATATATATATATATGTGTATATATATATATGTATATATATATGTATATATGTTAAATGTACTCGTATTTAGTAGTAATATTATGTAATGTTGCGTTAGCTTATGTCGTATGTATGTACTTTGCATGTATTTATAAAGTATATATATATATATATGTATATGTATGTGTGTAGTTTATATAATAAACGATCCTCTCTCTTCTTACCACGCGCTCTCTTATAATTAGATTATACAAACAACAAAAACTCGATAAGTTCCATTCCAAAAAATTGTCGCATTTTCGTTTTTTCTTTTCTTTTTTTTTTTTTTTTTGTTTTGGGCAAAAGGAAAAAATACAATTAAGTGGGTATTTCTCTGTATGTGTGTGTGTGTGTAAATTTTAAAATTAATTAAATAATAGAAAATAATTTAAAAATGTAAAAATTAATGCGATGGTTTTTATAGAGTTCAACATGCTCATCATATTTATATATATATATATATATATATTATACATACACATATGTATTTCTATATAGCATGTACCGTTATTTTTTTTTGTTGTTGTTTATATATATATATTTCGTTTTTGTTGCTTATTGAATACATTTTTAATTTTTGCTTAATTTGCTGTATTTTTCTTTTTTCTTTTTAGATGTTTGTATGTATGCATGTGTGTGTGTACGTGTGTGTGTGTTGTAATAAACAGAAAATCATAAAATTTTATGTCTATTTTGTTTTTGTACTCTGTTTTGTTGTTACTGCCTGTTGTAGTTTTGTTTTGTATCGTTTTGTTGTTGTTTTTGTTTTCGTTTCTCACACATTGACTTAAACAATAAATGAACAAATTGTTGTTGTTGCTTTTTTTGTAATTACAGTGGCTATTTAAAGTGAGTTTTGTGGTTTTCTTTTTGCAAATGGAAAAATGTTTTGTTTAAAACACAAAATAATCAATTAATTAAACAAAATATAACGAGTTCTCGACTGCACAAAATTCTTGCATTTTCTACTAATTTTATACAATTGCCGTTAATTTGTGTTTTGTTTTGTTTGCTTTTAGCAGCAGCTTAACAGAGCAGCGCGCAAGATCTGTGCTAACAGCGCGCGCAAGCTTTGCTCTAGTGAGGCCTAACAGCGCTGTTAAAGCGCGCCGCCTGCTGTTGCTTAACATAGCTGCGCCGTTTAGGAGTTGCTGTTGCTGTTAATGCTGCTGCTGCTGCTGTTACAGTTATGTTATTGCGCGCGCCTTTAATACTAGCTCGTGGGACGCTGCTGTTGCTGCTGCTGCTGTTAATGTTACTGTTACTCCTGCTGCTGCTGCTGTTGTTGGGCAATCAGGACGACGGCAGCTGCTTGGCCACAATGACCCCGGGACGACACTGCTTGAGGGACGTTGTGATGGTCACCGGCTGATGATGACTCGCGCCGCCGGCACCGACCACTCCCGCCGCTGACGCGCTGCTGCTGGTCTGCACCTTGAATATCGCCGTAGGCGTAACGCTGCTAACAGTGCCGCCCACATCCTTGGCCGACTTGGCCGTAATGATCACCTGCTTGTTGCCCTTCAACTGCAGGAACGGACGCAGCTCGGCCAGCGCCGCATGCTGCTTGCCCGTGGTCAGGGCCAGCGGCGCATCCTGCGCCAGGCGATAGCCGGCGGCAACAGTTGTGCTGATGATCTGATGATGATGCGACTGCTGCGGATGCAGTTCCTGCTGCTGCTGATGCTGCGAATGGTGCTGATGCTGCGACTGCTGCTGATGCTGCGACTGCTGCTGCTGATGCTGCGACTGCGCCGGCTGCTGTTGATAATGCTGCTGCAGCTTGTGCTGCTGATCGCCGTCGGCGAACAGATGATCCCCCTCCAGATGCCGGATGGCCTCGACAATGGTCTCCAGATTCTGGCGGGAGCGTGTGAAGACGGCCGTGGCGCCCATCACTGTTGTTGTTGTTGTCGGCTGGTCCAGTTTCTCGGTCTTGACCTTGACAATCTTCTCGTTGATGCGCTCCACCTCGACCTTGGGCGTGGCCTTGATGGCCGCCTGGAGGATGGGCGTGCTCATGCCCTCGGCATAGGCTTTGGCAATGGCATTCACGTTCACCTCGTTCTCGGACTCCGTGGAGCTGTTCGACGAGAGTATGACCTCCTCGTGCACCTGATCCTCGCTGATTATTTCCGCTGCCGCATCCGACTCCAGCTCCTCGATGCTGGAGCAGACCACGACCTGCTGCTGGCCGGTCATCTCGTCGATTTCCACATACGAGACGGTGCCGCCGAGCTCCTCCAGCTCCTCGGCGCGCACAAAGTTGTCCGTGTGCTCGATCACCTCGCGTGGAATGTACGCGCTGCTGCTCCCGCTTCCGCTTCCGCTTCCGCTGCTGTTGGCCGCCGCCGCGGCGACCGCGGTGCCCGGCGGCGCCGTCGCCACGCTGTACAGCTGCCGCTTGATCATCTGCAGCTCGTCCTCGAGCAGGCGCCGCAGGCTGCGCTCCTTCTCCAGCTGCTTCTTCATCTCGAGCAGCTCCTTGGCCGCAATTATGCTCGCATTGTTCAGCTTTGCTCCGGCTGCAGCCGCTGCTGCCGCCGCTGCTCCGCCTCCGGCGCCCGCGGAGAGCAGCGTCATGGGCTCCGGGGACATGGAGCCGAGTCCCTCGTCGGAGCTGTCGCTGATCGTCTGCATGTTGATCACGTTGTCAGTCAGCTTGCGCTTCTTGATGGCCACCGCACTTGCGCCGCCTCCTCCGCTCGACTCGTTCGCATTGCTGTTGTTGTAATTGTCACCAGAGGCGCCTCCGCCTCCGCCTCCTCCTCCTCCTCCTCCGTTGGCCTCGTGCTCGCCCACTTGTCGCTTCAGTTCGCTGTTCTGCGTCAGCAGCTGTGTCTTCTGATTCTCCAGCTCCACAATATATTGGAAGGTCTGTTGCAATATGGCAGCCTGCAAACAAACAACAGAAGCACATTAACATTTTGATGTTACGATAACATTTGACATTTAACATTACATTACATGTTAGTTTACATTTTAGTAAACTTAGTTACATTTTAGTTAACATTGAGATTGATCTCTTACCTAGGCTCAATCATAAGATGGTGCGCGTAGACTGATTGATTGATTGATGGACTTATTGATAATCAATGACATTTATTAAATAAATTGTTTAAATATTAAAGATAAACGTTTTTTTTCTGTAAATAATTGAAACATTTGCCAAATTCGTGGATATCTCAATTTTGTGCATCGTGTAAACTTTGTTTCGAACACCCACACGCACACACACAGGCATAAATCTGCATGCACATTCTACACACACACACACACACACACCAAAAACAACAGCAACGGCAACGTAGTCTGCGCTGTTTACAATGAAACTCATTCACAAGACGCCGCAGAGCGAAGCAGCGCAGCATAATTGAGAGCGGGAGAGAGAGCGAGAGAGAGCGTGAGCTTTGATAATTACCGCAAATGAATGCACAAACACACAAATATCTATGTACATAGTGCAGAGTGTTGTTGTTGCTACCGTGCTGGAATTTGCATTGGTAGTGGAAGCGCGTTTATAGTAAATAGTGTAGTAAGTCCGATGAGTGAGGTATGTAGTTGTTGTTGTTGTTGTTTTCTTCGCTATGTTATGCTGTGTTGTGTTCTGTTGTGACTTGCCCAAAAGGTGAAGGAACTTGTGTCCTTCAAAATCCTTCAAAATGCGCGCGTTCTCAGCACAACCAAACACACACACACACACAGACACACACACAGACGCATGTATTACTCAGCATAGCTGCATTTGTGTGCGTAAAAGAGCGCATGCAAAAGCTGTTGATGCGCATTTTTGCGCTTGTTTCACAACACTGCAAATGTGCGTGGGCTACACGCATAACGGTGAAAACTGGCATAGAAAGCAAGCAACTGCGTAGGCGAAAATAGCAACAAAATAAACAACAAACTATCTGGCAACACCCACAACGAATGCAGCAAGCAGCTGCAGAGCAGAGTTCGCTGCAGACGCCGCATCATGGCAATGGAATGCGAGAAGCTTTGTGGAAATTCTTTTGCTTTTGCTTTTGCTTTGGCTTTGATTAAAAAATAATAAATCGCTGCTGCGGCTGCTGCAGCCATAAAACTCGTTTCACGATTTTACTGGACGTCTCGTCGCTTGTTGTCGGAGGTCACAACTACAACAACAACAGCAACAACAATAACAGCGACATCATCAACTAGCGCACGACACCGGCTACACACAGCTGCTGCTGCTCTCTCCTTCTCTCTCGCTCTCTCGCGCTCAATGCACAGCTGTCTGGGCTGTTACGTTGTTTTGATATGTTGCGCACATAGTAAATAGAGAGCGGCTGGCTGAGCGTGCGTGTGAGCGAGCGAGAGGCAGAGATTGAGTACAGTTTTCTCAGCTTTGGCTGTGATAAAAATCAGCACATTGCAATGTCGCGCGCATATTTTATAAAAAAAAATAAAATAAAATAAATAAATAAATAAAATAAACAAAGCGCATTAAACATGTATTTGTTTTGTTCTATGTTAATTTATTCTATTCAGTTTTGTTGCTATTGCGGCTTCCAAAGGCCGTTCATTGACTTTAGCGAGCGCATTGTTGTTGTTGGATTGCATTGGAAACATATTGGAAGAATGTTGCTTAGCATTGGAAAGGTGCAGCACAGCTAGAATTAGCAAAGAGCCACATAATTAACTAGGCGAAGTTGGGACGAGTTTGCAATAGAAGAAGAATCTAAGAATATTTTTGATACAATTTGAAATTAGTTTAGGGAGTACCAAAAATCAATCAAACCTCGCTTTGATTTAAATTAAAATAATCGAAATATGTTTTTCTAATTTGGATGTTCCAAATATGCTTTCCCAATTGATCCAGTCAGAAAGCACCTATTGGAAGATAATTGAAACCCAATCAGAAAGCTTTGCACATATGCTAGAATAAGAATCCAACTGAAAGAGACATTGACTTAATCTAATTCAGCTGCCCAGTATATTCTTATTTGACTGTATTTTCCAATTGCTAAATATTCTTATCGGAAAGCTCTTAGAATTAAACGAAACTTCTTATTGTGTTCTTATTGGAACAAATTTGGCAAGGATTGCCACACATCATATGGCAGCTGCAGGGAGACCGGCAACCGAGGCCTTGGCTAATAAGAAAATGTCGTCGTCATATCTGCAACGCAGTCGGAAAATGCCGGCAAAAAGCTATAAAAAAAATTGCCTCAAGCGCAAAAAAAAAATTAAAGCCACAGCTGTACAATGGGCACACACACACACACATATATATATATATAGAGAAGGCTATGGGTGTGAGTGTAAACAAAAAGCCGCTCAAACGCGCGCGAGACACTCGTCGCTGTGTTCCAACAAGAATCCCAGCCAACGCGTTCGAGCAAGCAAGCAACCAACCAACCAACAAACCAAGCAACCAACCAGACAGCCAACAAGCAGCTAAGCAGCAGAGCAGCAGAGCAGCAGAAACGGCTGCGCGCAGGCAGCGGCAGCGGCGTTTTTGCGGCGACTGTACTTTTTTCCAACACACACGGGTGGTGACGGCCGCTACGAAAACACACCACCAAACCAAGCGCAGGCAGGCAGGCAGGCAGGCAAGCAGCAGCAGCAACAGTTCCAATACGAAAAGTTTTTCAATATTCGCCGGCGTTTCGTAGCCATCGTCATAAATGTTGCTAGCGTGCTGTGCTCTCTTACACGCACACACACACACACTCGCATGCACATAGACGGTTTGTGAGAGCGATAGAGTAAGAGAGCGTGGCTTCGTTAAGTTTCGTTGCCATCTCATTTCGTTTCGTTTGAAACGGAAATGGTGCTGCAGCAGCGCGGCCGCAGCCGGAGCAGCGGCTGTGGCGAAAAAAAACAAAAACATGTGGACGACTCAAGCTTTTGCCGACGCCACTTGCACTTGCTCTCTCGCTCTGACGCTCACCGAATTAGGCGTGAACGTAAACACGTGTGCCGTTCTCTTAATGCTTCCAGTTGCTTCCAATACGTATGGGAAGTGCCCAATTGACGCGTTCTCTTTCGCGCAATACGTACAGCGGCAGCAGCAGCAGCTGACTCGATGCTGCTGCGCTGCTTGCTGTCTGCTTCGTTTCTATAAATGGCGCGTCTGACGACGAGGCGGCCCCTGTTTCTGTTTCTTGCGGCCCTACACTACAATTTTCCTTTTATTTTGGCTGTTTGTTGATTGAATAAAATGCATAAAAATAGCCAAAATACTTGCAATGAGCGCGCCAACTGCTGATTCGTCATCAGCTGAGTTCTCAGTTCTCTGTGTAAGCACAAAACTACGCTATTTGTCTGTATGTACATGTGTGTGTGTGTGAGTAGTAAGTGGGCGCGCCCGGGCCACCCAAAAGCAAGCGCACCGCAAATGCATGGAAATAAAAAAGCTATGCGCCATGCCCCCTCCCCCTTTGGCAGCTGTTTGGCCTACGTGCGTGCACGCATGCCCTACAACATCGAAACTTGTAGTAAAAATATCAACAACAAAAAATAAACACAAATCAAATTAGACAATATTTGAACACACACACACACACACATACACACATGTGTGTGATTTATCGATATGTGTTCCTAAAATATGCATTTGAAAGAAAAAAAAACCCAATTTAGCTGCTCTTATCAAGAATTGCATTTGCTTTTGCTATTGCGTTTGCCTTTTTCGCTTCTATTGCGTCGCACGTTTTGTTGGCGGCAAACAATTAGCGCTGTGTTTGTTCTCTGCTGCTTATCTCTATTCGCTCTGCCGGCCGAACGACAGGTGTGAGTGCGAGTGCAAGAGTATGAGTGAGAAAGGCGTGTGTGTGTGTGTGTGTGTGCGTGTGTATGTGTGCGATGCGAGCTAAAATTGCTCGGCTTGAAGGGGAGGGTAGGGTAGGTAGAAAACAAGTCAGCTGACATTAAAATTGTAGTTTATGTTGCTTTTGATGCCGTTTTGTGGGTCTCTTCTGCTGCTGCTTCTTCTTTCTTTGGTCTTCTTTTCATTTTGGCAAACAAAAGCGCGTGTTTTGCGGCGCGATTGCGGTTCATTAGCATTTTTCATAGCGCTTAGCTTTTGCATGCCGAATTTATGCTAAAATTAGCAACACACACACACACACACACACTCACGCTTATATGTATATGTATATATGTATTTACAAACATAACGGAATTTGAGAAGGCCGCACACGTTGCAGCTTCGGCTCATTTTTGCAAAACTTTTTGGTTTTACCAAACACACAGATCTATATACATATGTATGTCTGTATGTATATGTATGTATGTGTGCATCAAAGTTATGAGCAAAGCGAAAAAACAGCTGCGGCTAGCACAGCGCTGCCGGCATTGATGCTTACACACGTATACACACACACACACACACACACACACATGGAGACGGACACCCACATGCCAGCGCACAGGTCTTGGTTCGCTCGCACTCGCTCTTTCCCACTCAGCTGGTACGCGCCCACAACAATGGGCGCCAAACATGTGTTTTCTACACACTCACACTCACACTCACACACGCAAACGATAATGGGTGACAACATCAGCAAAGAGCGAGAGCGAGAGAAGGAGAGCGAGGAGAGAGAGAGAGTGTGCTGAGCATGCTCTGGCTGCATTAATTTAACACTATTTTTAAATATACAATTTGTTTTTACATTTACAGTTATCTTGCGGCACAGTTTGAAATTTAGCAGAAATGCCGTCATCGAAAGTAAATCGTGGCAGAGAGATTACGCGACGCGGCACCAGGCGAGGTCAGTTGGGGTCTCAACTGTGTGTGTGTGTGTGCGCGCGAGTGTGTATGTGTGTGTGCGGCCCAGCCTTGTGTTGCCAGTGCAAAACAGCTGTCGGGTCTGGCAGCGCGCTCACAGTATATATTTAAATATAAACATTTCATGCTTCTTTTTTTTTAT